CCTTGAAAGATAGGAATTGGGCTCAAGCCATGCAAGAGGAGATGAATGCATTGGAGAAAAATAAAACATGGGAGGTTATTGATAGACCTACTGGAAAGAAAGCAGTAGGGTGCAGATGGGTTTATGCCCTGAAATATAATTCTGATGGAACTCTTGAGAGATACAAAGCTCAATTAGTTGCCAAAGGTTACTCTCAAACCTATGGCATTGATTATGAAGAAACATTTGCTCCAGTTGCAAAGATGAATACGGTGAGAGTTTTGTTATCCCTTGCTGCCCATTACAACTGGGATATAAACCAATTTGATGTGAAGAATGCTTTCCTCAATGGTGAGTTAGAAGAAGAAGTCTACAAGGAAATTCCGCCTGGTTTTAATTCTGTGAAGAGAGAAAATAAAGTTTGTAAATTAAAAAAGGCCTTGTATGGATAGAAGCAGTCACCTCGTGCCTGGTTTGGAAAGTTTACTAAGGTTATGATGACCTTAGGATATAAACAAAGTCAAGGAGATCACACTCTTTTTTTCAAGCACTCCCAAAATGGGAAGCTTACTGTGCTCCTTGTATATGTTGATGATATTATTATCACATGTGATGATTTTGTGGAGAGACAGATTCTGCAAACACGGCTTGCCTCTGAGTTTGAAGTCAAAGACCTTGGGAATCTGAGATATTTCCTAGGGATAGAAGTAGCTCATTCGAGCAAAGGAATCTTTATCAGCCAGAGGAAATATGTTCTTGATCTTCTCAAAGAAGCAGGAAAGCTCGGGTGTAAACCCTCTAATACTCCTATTGAGCAGAATCACAAGATGGGCTATGAAGAGGAGAGTCCTCCAGTTGATAAAGGACAATATCAACGGCTAGTTGAGAAATTGATATATTTGGCCCATACTAGACCAGACTTAGCTTATGCTGTTAGTGTTGTCAGTCAGTTTATGCACGATCCAAAGGAGAAACATATGCAGGCAGTAGAGAGAATTCTTCAGTATCTGAAAGGTACTCCTGGTAAAGGGTTGTTATTCCGACGTGATGGCAATCTATCTTTAGAAGTCTACACAGATGCTGATTATGCTGGATCCGTGACTGACCGTCTTTCTACCACTGGTTATTGCATGTTTCTTTGTGGTAACTTGGTGACATGGAGAAGTAAGAAACAAGATGTGGTCGCCAGATCAAGTGCAGAAGCTGAATTTCGAGCTATGGCTCAAGGCATTTGTGAGTTATTGTGGCTGAAAATTGTACTTGATGATCTAAAAATAAAATGTGAGGGACCTATGAAGCTGATATGTGATAATAAGTCCGCTATTTGTATAGCTCATAATCCAGTTCAACATGATCGGATTAAACATATTGAGGTCGACCGCCATTTCATCAAAAGAGAACTTGATAGCGGGTTGATTACCACTCCATACATTCTCACTGGGCGTCAATTAGCTGATCTATTGACAAAGGGGCTTCCTTCAGATAGATTTCAAGAACTTGCTAGCAAGCTGGGAATGATAAATATCTATTCCTCAGCTTGATCTCAAATTTCAGCTTCTAATACTGAAGTAATTTGTGAAATAATAAATTAATAGAATGTGACATATGTCATTTTTAATGTAATTGAATTTGAAAAATATTAGTTCAATGTCATTGAGGGATATTTTTAAGGGGATTCTGAGTTGCAATTTAAATTGACATAGTAATAACATGTATTTTTATATATTTATGCTTCTTGTTTTTTAGTTTATTTAATGAACCTTGTTTAATTCATTTTAGATACGTAGAATATAATTGAATTTATATGTTCATATTTATATAATTTTTATATATCTATATATATCCGGGTCCACCGGTCCGACCAATGATTCAGTAACCTAGTATCCCGACCGGATCGATGCCCGAGTCGAGTTCTGTTGTAAGGTAAAAAGAAGTTGTATGTATAAATATATAACTTACCTTGTAAACAATAGTTATAAGTGATTTTTGACATAACATTATTATAGAATATATTTTGGTCAATATACCATTATGGAATAAACTACCTTATAATGCTCTTGCCGATTCTTTGGTTGATTTGGACCAATCAACATAAATTTTTGGTATCCAACCCACAACATCTACCCTCAAGCTTAGGGTATTCTGTTTCATGCTTTTGGACTACTTAATGAAAAAAAGCAGATAGCCACCCAATAGGAATATGAGAATCGAATAGAATTTTAGCCATCAATAAATAAAGCAACCATAATAATTTTATAACTTTCTATTTCAGTATTTATTGTTTCACTTCCCTTATTATCACTCTTTGACCTCATCCTAAAAATTTCACTCACGTATAAAAAATTGATTTATTTTTCTCTGCAGTCAATATAGATAAGTTACCTACATTAAACTTAAAACAACGTTATTTTGAGACAGAAATTAAAGTATTTTGTAATTATAATATATTTCAGGATTATAATAATCTTTCTCATTATAATTTTTTTTATTTTTCAACCAAAAACGACATCGTTTTGAGAGTGAATATAGACAATTTATCTACATAAAAACATTAAAGCCATAAAAAAAAAAGGGTGCATATTTTCTTATGTTGTAGGATAGTAGGAAAGAAAAAAAGTAGAGATAAGTTAAATGTGGGTCCCACATTTTAAATTAAAAAAGAAAAGAAAAATTAATTGGCACGGAAAACGAATTTGTGTAGGAAAAAATTCTTATCTCATGTAGAAGGAGATAATGATTTCTCAAAAAAAAATTCACTCATGTGTTGGCACTTGCCATCATCTAAACGAACATTAGATTGCGAAAAAAAACATTATACATGAGAGAATTTTTTATGGTAACAGACATTAAATATGAGAACATTAAACACATTCATTATGAAGGCACGCGGCACGATCTCAAAACTCAAGAAAGGTAACAGAATTACTGAATGTGAAGGAGCCAATCGCACAACGATAAATAAAATAAAATAATCCATTACCCCAGTTCTACGTCGTCGTTTCAGTGATCAAAGTATGGTTTGATTTCGTGATCGAAGATGAACAGACAGGGGCAGCGATCTGGTGCTACAGCGGTGCAACGCCACTTCCAGTACTCCAAAACCTTTATCCACATGCCTCATTCAAAGCCATTGATTTTGTAATGTCTCACATCGGTTGGAGAGGGGAACGAAGCATGCCTTATAAGGGTGTGGATACCTCTTCTAGTGTGAGGCCTTTTGTGGGGTGTCCCAAGAAACAAAACCGTGAGCTCGACGGTGCTTGTGCGCGGGGTAAAGCGGACAATATCATGCTACAGGGTTTGTGGCTGTTACAATTTGGTAGCAGAGCCTTGGCCCTGGACCGGTGTGTACAGCGGGGACGCTGTATTCCCAGTGGGGGAGGATGTAATGTCCCACATCGGTTGGAGAGGGGAACGAAGCATGCCTTATAAGGGTGTGGATACCTCTTCTAGTGTGAGGCCTTTTGTGGGGTGTCCCAAGAAACAAAACTGTGAGCTCGACGGTACTTGTGTGCGGGGCAAAGCGGACAATATCATGCTACAGGGTTTGGGGCTGTTACAGATTTCAGCCCTGGCCTCTTGGATCTCCATTCAGTTGATACTGAGCTTCTTCTTCAGGTTACTTGAAACCCGTTTGGATGAATTTTTTTATTTTTTTCAAAAATTATTTTTTTAAGGAAAAAAAGAATTTCTCGAAAAAAAAAGTGTATTTGAATGACTTTAGCTTCTAAAAAAACAGAAGTGAAAAGCAAATATTTTTTTCTAAGTGAAAAGCAAATATTTTCTATTTGCATTTTTTAGTAGTGCACCTATGTATGTGTTTCAAGTTCAATTATTGTTTCTATTCTTTTCCTCTGTGGCTGAGCTTTTACTATTTGCTTTTATAAAGAGGAAATTTGATTTTAATTTTGGTCTTAATTTTCTGCTGGGTCATAAATTTATGAAAGAAAATGGACTTAAGCATGTTGCATTTTCAACAGCTAACATGTGGCCGAATGCAGCTCTTGAGACGAGAGATAGTGTTTGTTCTATTATGAAGTTGTTCATTTAAGTTTTCTAATTACCAAACATAAAATTGACCCATTCTTTGCTATATATCTTAAAACATACTAGTTATAGTATAGGATAAATTTTTATTTATTCGGAAATCACGATTTTCATAAATACGATGAAAACATTCAATTTACGATAATATCTGAAAATAAAAAATTTAAAAATATTTAGTTTTCCGTGAATCCTCCAGAAAACCGTGTATCAAACGGCCGTTGAATGGTAGAACTATTTGTCCAAAACGTTGATGCTTCAAAACATCCGAAACGTGATATTTATCTTTATTACAAGTTACAGTTACGAAGTTTAGTTAATAAAAATAGGGATAGAAATTGATGGACTGGCTGTTGCAAAAATTTTCAAAGCCCACTTCTACATGGGAGATAAATTCTAGAGACAAGCCACATTTGTTTAGAAGGCAAGAAAAAGAAAATATATTATGACTTAAAAAAGCTAGAGTAAGGTTAAGACAGTGTATGTTTCGTTCTGCCTGATACTTCACATTGACGAAAGCAACTTGCATAGAAACGATTACATTTTTAAAAAATAAGTGGTGGTAATTAGAGCTCATGAGCTTATAATTCAATCCGTAAATATTAAAACTTTAATTTAAGGGTAGTATTCACACATTTTATAAATAATTATACCATGGTTAAGATCATTTATTCGAAAAATAGTTTTAAAAACATAAACATGACATTAGAATTATTACATAATTTACAAATTGAAGCATTGAATAATAATTCTGTCGCAATAACTACTCACAGAGATAATAATAATAATAATAAAAAATAGCAAGTATCATAATGCAGAGTTTCCTTCCTAATTGCTGACGGTTATGTTACTTTCATTCATATACCGAACCGACCAACGAACTTTTTTCCCGCCATCTTGGCTTGTGATTCATATTGAAACTCTGCAACTTCAATCTTCAACTTTGGTGAAAGAATCGGAAACCCTTTGAGAGAAAGATGGAAACTTTGATATGGCCCAAGATCAGCTTGCTGGTTCTTGTGTTGTGCATATTGGTTTCTTTCGATAACCACAAACACACTAACAACACCAACACAACCATTTCCGTTCCGTTAGTCTCTTTATCCGTCAAGAACGAGAACTATGATTCTTCTTCTTCTTCTTCTTCTTCTTCTTCTTCTTCTTCTTCTTCTTCTCACTCACTCCTTGAATATGATTTCTACCGCGATTCCTGCCCCCAGGCAGAGCGCATTGTTCGCACAACAACTCACCATCTCTACCAAGCCACACCCAATTTGGTTCCTGCTATCATTCGTCTTGCTTTCCATGATTGCTTTATTCAGGTTCCTTTTTTTTTTCCCATGTCTTTTCTGCGATTTTGATCTCTCCTAAGTGCTTTCTTGAGGAAATTTCATCTGGGTCGTCTTGAATTGCTCTTGATCTTCAACTTTTACATGATTTCCAGAGTGCAGATTATTGAATTGTCTTTTGTTTGATATTTTCTGACATGGAATTGAATTTTATTTTCTAAATTGTTCTTCTGGTTGATGGTTTGAGTTCCTTATTGTTGTGCTTTTCTAGTTATGAGGCTTGGACTAAAGTAGTTCTGAGCTATATACAGTACTTTCTTGGAGAGATTTGTATTGGTCTTGTTAATAATCAAGCTTTAGATGCTCTCGTGAACCACATTTATGGAACTTTGTTTTCAAAGTGATTTTTTTTTTTTAATTTGTTGTTTGGTACTTATTTCTGATGTTACCTTTTTTCTATGAATGTTGGGTCAGAATAAGTAGTTCTCAAGTTTTTTTTGACTGAATTGTGTTGATTTTAATCGGGTTTGCATCAGGGATGTGATGCTTCTGTTTTGTTAGATGATGATGATTTCATTGACTCAGAGAAGGAGGCTCCTCCCAATGGAAGTCTCAGAGGTTTTGATGTAATCGAGATCATCAAATCCAAACTTGAAGAAGCATGCCCTGGGGTTGTTTCTTGTGCTGATATTCTTGTATTGGCAGCAAGAGACTCCGTGGTTCTGGTAATTTTTTTTTCTCTACTCATCCCTTCTATCAATTGTATGTGTGTATGTTTGATAGACACTGCCACACTGAAACATAATTTAGCATGGTTTATTTTTCAGGCTGGTGGTCCATTCTATCCGTTACATACAGGAAGGAGAGATGGTTCTAACTCCTTCGCTGACATTGCAACATACGAGCTTCCTTCACCCTATGGTGATTTATCACAAACCCTTGCTTCCTTCAAAACAAGGGGGTTTGATGAAAGAGAGATGGTCACTCTCCTAGGTTAATTTCTAGTTTTTCTTTCCCCTTTTCTTTGTAATCATGTGTAACAAAGCCTTTTGTCTTATATTCTGTTCAAATTTCATGATACTGAAGCGGCTGACATAGGATCCCTCTTTCATCTAGGTTCAGCACAAAGAAATTGTATATTTCATCATGGACAAGGCTCCTCTAAAGTTAGTTTGTCTCTAAAATGAGCAAGTTAGGGTGTGCGATCTTAAGTTCTTAACCTAAAGTTTAAGAGTCGGTGCACCCTTACTTGCTCTTTTAGAGATAATCTTACTTTAGATGAGCTTTTTCCTTTCAGCATCAAGCATTTTGGTTTTAAATCATTCCCTTAACCAATCTAATGCCCGAATATTTATTTGCAATTATTTAATGGAATCCAAAACATAGATAGGATATATTTGTTGGTTAAAATAAGCCTAGTATTTCTATACCATAGTTGTTGATATCAAGGCACTCATGGCCATCTTAACTAGCTGGCTTCTTTGATCAATTTAGGGTAGGTGCTTGGATATGTCTTTGGTTTCTGCTTCTGCTGATATTTGGTTCTTGTGCAAATTTTCATTATCGATTGATGACTTTGTCCATTTTTTTACTTCCAGGTGCCCATAGCATTGGTGTAATCCACTGCAAATTCTTCCAAGACCGCCTCTATAACTTCAATGGAACTAATGAACCTGACCCCACTATAGATATTGAATTTCTAAACCTACTAAGATCAAGATGCAATTACTCAAATGCATCTTCCTCTTCAGTATCAGGATACAAATCCCATGGCTCACCTTCATCACAAGCATTTAACGCAACTCCGCTTAAAGGCTTACCTTCTTCCTTAGTTGAAGAACCTGGAATGGCTATGGAGTTTGAGCAACATGGATCAGATTTTGGGACGTTATACTACCGCAGCCTATTGCAAAGTAGAGGAATCCTCTATGCTGATCAGCAACTAATGGAAGGGGAAATAACCAAGAATTGGGTTGAAGCATATGCATTCAATCCTACTTTGTTCCATCAAGATTTTGCCCTGGCAATGATGAAACTCTCAGATATCCGGGTCTTGACCTTGCCTATGGGACAGATTCGGCTAAATTGTTCAAAGGTTGCGTGACAGTGTTGCCAAGAACAGACGCTGTCTCACAACTCTCACAACCCCAACACCCCTCTTATGTTTGGATGCATTACATTTTAATTGCCAAATGTAAGTCTGGACAAGTTATAGAAATTTTAAAATACCTTTGTGTTTTTTCTGACACACTTATCAAATATCTAAGCAAAAGCTGTAAGTCTATTATGATCCAAGCATCATTGAGAATGAAACTAAAGATTTAAAAGTTGGCAAACAAGAAAGTTAGAGATGCTTATATTGTAAGAAATCATTATCGATGAACGAACACCATGGATTCAATTCAAGCAATACACACAAAGTGGGAAAAAAAGGAAAATAAGAGGCACAAAATATTGAAATAAAACTGATTTCCTATACACTAGAGCATCATTTGCATTGTGGTTAACTGGTTATCTTATCTACAACCGGATTGAGCCAGGTTTGAAGCTGACAGAGTGCTGTGGAACAGAGAACTCTGAGTGTATGTCAATGAAAAACTTGTCAACAATATCTAAATAGACAGGGCTTTTAAGGCGAGAATAGTAGTGAAGTGCCTCTTCTATGTCTAGTACATGCTCAAGATCACCAGCATCCATCATATCCAATTCTTTCATCTTTTGTGCTAAAACATGAGTTCCCTTACTCGTGTTTTGTGAATCTAAATCCTTTTTTTTTCTCAGTTGTGATCTCCCTTTGTTCTTCTTCTCTTTTGCACTGTCTTCATGAATAATCTTTTGTGGACGGTTCTTGGCAAAACACATGAAGCTTCCAGCATCTTCCATTGCTGGCTCTTTTGGTCTGGATATGTTATTGTTACCAAACCTCTTCATTTTGCTGAGGTCAGAGTGCAAGAGATCGTAAAACTCATTGTAAAATTGGTCGCTTGTGTGAGTTTTTGCATTGCCAATTTTACGAAAGAATGGATTGAAGGAAAGAGATCTGGGAAGTTTTTGATACCCTCCAAAGAAGAAAGACCTGAAATTTTGGAGGGTTTTGTGAAAGAAAACCTTGGACTTGTGTATGGTTTCTCTTTGCAGCATTTGTGGTTCTACTGTTCTCCAAATGGCTCTATATTGAAGAGCAGTCATGGTTATATTCTGGTGCAGTTCTTGTGTAATCTCCAATTTTGTCCAAATAAAGAAAGAGACGTGCAGATGGTAACATGTTTTGTTGATGTCACTAAAAGACAAAAGCAATGTGTTTCCTCTGTCAAGCTTTCAATTCCACCCTTTTGTCTACGGCATCCCATGCCTAGTGTCCTTTTCAAACCCTCTCTCTCTCTCTCTACTCGTGACCATATGATATGATAATGTGAAAAAGATCAGAGAGCCAAAGTATTTTGGGGCCCAAGACCTTATGTAGATTTTGTCCCGAGACATGGGGGTTGCCTCTAATTTTGTTTAGTTTCCGAACCAATTCATCCTTCGTACTAAAGAAAAAATTATAAGTTTCAGGACTTTGGTATGTAGATTATCACGAATATTAATGTCTTGTTTTGACAATTGCTGTTGAAAAGTCCAGCCGATTAAGATGGGACGGTAATAATAGTGGGTAACTAAAAGATTAAAACAAGGACTTGCTTGTTGTTAAGCCATTTGAAACCATGGATCTCCTAAACGAAGTTGTGCTCAATTGAGTTATTCTGGAGGCCTACCTGCTTTGTCATGCAACTTGAATTTAACTTTTTGGTACTACACTTAATAATTAATGCACCTCCAAAGCAGTTTCAGTTACTGCTATAACCAGAGAATTCAGGATGGGTCGCTGAGAATAATTAATGACACACATGCTCCCCTTCCAAACCCGGTTAAGTTGGTGCATATCCTCTTAATTATCATCTGTCCCAAGGGCTTCTGAAGGAGAAACCCTATTTTGTAGCATGGTCCCTTTTCTATAGTCAGGTTGTGGGCAGTGAGAAGAGTGCATTCCATTTCCTGCTTTGAGGTCACTATTGGACACTCCAGTGTTCTAATTCCTCCATCCACCTCTATAGCAAGACATATCTGTTGCTTTCTTGAAAAGTTAATTGCCCCGTGAGGAGAGCTACAAAACTCTGGCAACTGACATAACTGTGGAAGCTCAAACATGTGCATATCTCATTCATGAGGGTGCCCACGAGATTTGGCACTGATATTAAAGGTGAACTGTGTGTAATTATTAATGAACTAATTCAAGGTCAGAGAACCTTTGTGATGTTAAAATTTCACTTGATGCTAATGACAGGAAAGAAAGAAAGGAACCTTTTACAAAATGTTACGGTAAACAAGCCTCGGAGTCTTTGGTTCCAATACTTTCACAATTTGCTCGAGTCCCATATGGATGGAGGACAATGCAAAGTGCTACAAATTATCTGGATTATGGAACATAAAGAAACGGGGCAAAGCTCAGCACATAAGCCAAGGATAAGTTATATCGAAATCCGGACGCCATGATCGGGTGTTGGATGCATGTAAAATATCTTACGCCATATTGCCCATGAGTCCATGATCAGCATTCTTTAGTTTCAAAATTCGAAAAAGGTAGCAGCTAACTCAATCTGCATCTTGAAAGACATCAATTCTCTCATAATTGAATAGGGAATCCAACGTGTTTATTATGCCCATGGATAAAAAAAATTTGCTAGTAAATGGCTACGATGCTATGAGTCATACGTGACGATGAATGTCGAATTAACCTGTTGTACATACTGTTATCAGTAATAAGATCAGATAACATGTATGAGTCTCCATCGTCCACATTTTTTAACAATTGGGGATAAAATATTACATACAGGAACCATCAACGGCCCGGGAAAAGAGTGCACAACATCATTCAGAGTAGAATAACGGTTACTTTTAGGCTTGTATGAAAACGCAGATGAAGTGCTGTATCTTTAACACGAGCTCTGCTGATGAAAACGAATAAACGTCAACTACACACACTAGAGTTTCGCAAGTTTAGATTTGCTAACTCATTGTTTCGTATTTTAACTGTCTTATTGATTATGAAATAGCTTAAAACTATTACTGCTGTGCCCAATTTCGAGATTTTTTTTTTTTTAGGAAAAAGTTCATTAATGCTCCTGTGATTTGCTTCAGAATCACATAAGTCCCCGTGGTTTTTTTTCTATCACATATGCCCCTGTGGTTTGCAAAAGGGTATGTTTTTTATCACATATGCCCCTGTGATTTTTTATTTTTTACAAAGCACAGGAATATATGTAATAAAAAAAAACCACATAGACAAAGGTGATTCTGAAGCAAACTCCAGGAGCATGGTGAACTTTTCCCTTTTTTTTAATAACAAAAGAGTACATGTGAAGTAAAAAGTATAAAACTAAATGAAACGGCTTTATGAACGAATATAATGGAAATCACGGCTTTATAAGATTAGCTGCAGGGGTTATTGACAGCATGTCCTTTTGAATTTGAAAAACTGATGCAGCAAACGATGTACTTCACCGTAGTTATTGGAAGAAGAAACAAGACGATCTTTTATCCACTGGGGGAGCTTGGTGACTGGGTGGGCAAAGCTCCGTTTTGAGGAATCCGATGCATACCTTGTGTCAACCAATAAAATTGCTGCATAGTCATTAATGTGACGGATTGCTCTACCTAAAACAACGAACATACATATATCAGTGAAAGGTCAGTGGAAAAAGCCATTGAGATGGGTACACGTGCTATAGGTAGAATGCACAACAGACAAAGAAATCCAGTAAGATGACAAGCAATCATGAGCTATGGACCATGGATTTCTTCCTGTTTGAAAAAAATTAAGTACTAGTAAGCGATTGTTTTTCAGAAATGGGTAATTCTTTGAAGAGGTGGATCTCCCAAGAGGTTGAACTCTAGGGTAACATGTATCTTCAGTCTTGACTCTTGAGACTCCAATCCTTATTTTTTAACAAACAAGTTAAACCAGTGAGATTCTATGAAAAGTCCATTCCACCAATCAGTGCTCAACCTCTTGAGAGATCTACAAGCCATAGAATTACTATTTAGGGGTTATTGTAAGTACGCACCTATTGATTGATTTACAGATTTCATGCAGAGATTCTCATAATACTCTTTTCCTCTGTGACTGCAACTTCTTAAGATGCCAAAACCACCTTGCACATCTCCACTGTATACATTATAACTGGCAGAAGAACTAGGATTTTCAAGGAACTTTGAATTTCGAAAACCTTCAATGTGCTTTATCCTCTCCAATAACTCAATGTCAGATGGGCTAGCATATGGCAGTCCAACCATGACTATGCACCGACCCATCCCATCACTTAAGTTGATCCCTTCAGATATCTTCGCACCAACAACAGCAAGGAGTATCGCACCGCTGTGAGATGCTTGGTTTGCTTCTGAATTCATACTCGATAATGTATCAATGGTATCTTTGTATTCCTTGAGAACTGATTCAACATCCATATTATTTCTAGGCTCTCTAAAGACACGCTTCCTCTTTGTAATCCTTTCAAGGATGCCAGAAGACTCCCAGTTTTCATAGACTCTACCTTCATAATCAAAAGAAGGGAAGAAGACTACAATTCCTTCGGGAACCACAGTCACCAAATTACATAGCAAAAGGCCCAGCTCTCGCATCTATAAAGCACAAGAAGCAGCATAATCAGTCACCACAATTATCATTTCAGAGAAACTATACTGAAGAATGATACATGAAAACCATGATATACTCACCACGTCTGCTGAGCTCCTCGAGCTGTAGCTAAAATCAAAGGAGCGGCCAGTAGGCCCACGGGTAACCGCAATTGGCATCATGCTATCTGGGGAGACAATATGGCCACATGAAAAGAAATGCAACTGATTTGGTGGTAACCATGGAAAGAGTCGCTCCCTTGTCTCTTCTATAGGTTGAAGCGTTCCCCCTACTAATACAACAGCATGTGCTTGATCTACAATCTAGAGAAAGTTTCAGAGTTATTTTCTTGTTCATTATCTGTTAGGAAAAGAAACTTAAGCTCTAAAGTCCTTTCTAATTAATGCAACAGTATCAGGCAAACCTCGGAGAAAATCTTCTCTCCGCTGAGCATAACATATTTAATATATCCTCCCTGTTTCCTGAAGCTCGTTGGTCTAGACCTGGAAATGATTATCCTTCCATCACTATCATTGTTTGTCAGTGATAGCAATATGTCAGCTAATGCCTGGAAAGAAGACTGACAGCTTCCCTCCTCACCATGTTCCCCAATTTTATCGCGTGCTGATATCTTCTCCAAGCTAGCCACCTTTTCCCCATAACTACTAACCTGGAAAATCAAGTAAATTTTCACATTAAAATAACAACAGAAAATTCAGAAGTATCACGTGGCATTCTATCAGAAGAAAATGCATATATTTAGTAGCAAGATTCACCTTGTGCATGATATTACTTTCCTTTATATACTTCAACAATCTGACCAAGTTGATATTGTCTATATTTAGTTCAAAGAAAAAATCATTGATGGACATAGTAAAATCAGAGGCTCTACTTTCTTCAGAAGTCTGTTCTATACCATGGCAAGAATCTCCTAGATTTTCATCCTTCTCATTGAGTAGTACTCGGAGAAAAGCTTGTGTGAGGACCATTAGAGTTTGAATATATCTCCGATTAGCAGGTCCCAAAAGATTCCGGAATCTCACAAAGTACCGCTCCACATGGCAATGCACATTCTCCAGCTGTACGCATAGACCATCTAATAATTAATGGAAAAATCAAAACTATATATCCAAAATATGGGTGTCAAAATCAAATGATTGGGGAGGCTGTGAATTCAGATAGGGTTTCAAAGTTCAAGTTGTAGTAGCAACTTGTTCCACCCCCCAAACAAAACAAAAGAGCATCCCAAGATGGCATATGCAAATGCAAATTGCAAGTCCATACTAGCTACCAAAAGACACGAGTGAAACTTCAATCAAGGTATAGATAGAATGAGAAGCATACCTGTGATAAAGTAATTTTGGAGTCATACATGCTGATAAGTGAATCAGCTAAATTATGAGCCTCATCTATTATAACAATATTGGATTTCAAATTCAGACTAAGTGCTTCACGAGATGATTTTGACAGAAGAGACTGATATGGTAGGACAACAAGATCTGCTCCCCTAACCATGCTTCTAGATCCATAATATGGACAAGTTCCCGTGGTTCTTCCAAGGTTAGCAAGGTCTTCAATATCCAAGGGCCCTTGTTGAGATGCCTCATTCCTGAATTCTTGTTGTAGTCTATGTTTTCTAAGCATTGGGCAACCAGAAGAGGCCTTTGTTCTGCGTACCCCTGCACCTACTCTTAAGTTCTGCAATTAAGAACCACCATTGTCGAAGAGACATTAGTGTCCAGACTCTGCCTTATTTATTCAATTGCAAAAGTGTTTTACGAACATTTACCTTATTTATACAGAGTTAGTACGGAGTAGGTTACTTAGTAACTTAATTAGACATTTAGCAGGGAAGTTGTAATTCCTGTGGTTTCATCTTCAATATTATAATTCTAAAAGCTATTTTTCTTGGTTCTTTGACCAATAATCAATTTTTAAATTGGTGAACAAGTAGAAGCACCAATTACTGAAGGTTCATTAACATACATCCTCCCAGCACATAAATTATGCATCCATAAAAACTTAAGCACAATCTTCTCATTCTTAACAGAGAGGACACGTGCAAATTCACCTGTCTATTACTGATGACAGAGTCAGGCTTGCAGAGTGTATCACAAACATCATCCATTAGAATGAAGAAAAGGTGGTAAACCATTCTCAAAATTAAGCTTCTAGCAAAGCAACAGACCTATAGGCTATAGCCTTAAATACAAACCCCACACACCTTAACTTTTGTAGCTTCATTTTTCTTTTTCTTCTGGAGTTCCAAGCATCGCTCATTTATGCGTGTGGAGTTTCCAAGTGTTAGTACTTCTGGAAAAACATGCAACAAAAATCAGGGTTAAAACACAGACACAGTAGCTACTACAGCTTCAACAAGTAAACAAATGGAATCAAAAGGACCATCCAACTGAAGTAAATTCCAAACCCCAAACCTTGGTTAATGCAAAGATTTTTCCTGGAGCCTAAACTCACAACATCAATCTCATTAGCAAAGACTGTCTTCCGTAACTCCTTTATGAACTGTGAAAGCTGGGAATGTGTTCGACTACAAAAATAAACCTTCAACTTCTTCTCCTCTTCCTCCTCCTCTTCCTCATCACCATCATCATTCTCATCTTCACTTGAAGAACTAAATGTGCTTTTAATGGCCTTCCTCTTAGACGCCACACTACCCAGACCCAGAGCTTTCTCATCTTCACTCTCGTAATCTTCCAGTAAAAACTCCTCATCAATAATATCCACTCCATCAATTTCCTTTATCAAACTCTCCCACCCCTTTTCAGTGATAGAATCTTTACAACTTTCCTTCTCGTTCTTCTTCTTCTTCTTCTTCTTCTTCTCACTATTATTATTATAAGGTTTTCCTACCATAGATCTAAACTTTTCCTTCTTATTTTCCGTTTTCTCCTCTTTGTTAATAACAAAATCTCTCATCCAATCAGGTTCATCATCCGAACCAGTTGCTTGATCCTTACCTACTTCCGATGCTTCCCGTGATTCGTGTTGTAGCCTCCGATCAAGCACCCACTGCAAAGCACTACAAATGACACTCATAGTCTTCCCAGTACCTGTTACAACACAATGACACATAATCGCATAACAATTAAGCAAAAAAAAAAAACGAAAGTAGAAGAATGATTAGTTACCACTTACCGGTTGGGCTTTCCAACATGGAAATGCCACCTTGATTGAGAGATTGATAGAGTGCGTTCATGAAATCAATCTGAATCGAGTAGGGTTTGAAAGGGAACCCTCGGAATTTTGGGTTTTCTTCTTTCGCATCCATTTTTTCTATGCTAAGGTTTAGGGATTCACAATTCTTAAACTGTCTTTCTCTTTATTTCCCTTTCGCGCCACTCCAATATATAACCAAAAAAAGTTTAAAATTTTATTTTAATTTTTAACCGCTTTACTCTCAGTGAGAGCTCGATTTTCGTGGTAATATTTTTTTTTTAAAATTAACGGGCCCATTTGATTGTATGAGTAAGAAAAAAGTTCTTTTCATGTCGCATAAGAAAAAGCAACCCTTTTTTTATTACTTGTTATTATCAAATCTTAACCGTTGATTTCCGTCAATCTAACGGTTATAATTTATTGGATGACACTTATTAATTAATTATTAATTTTCAATAAATTATAACCGTTAGAGTGACAAAAATCAATGGTTAAGATTTAATAGTAACAATTAATAAGAAAAAAAAAACAGTAAATATAACATTTTCCAAAATATTATTTAAAAAAATTGTCATAAATAGGTGGGATTAGATCAGGCCCTAAGCCCTAAAAAAACGATGTTACTACAAAATGGGCCAAGGCCCAAAAAGAAGAAAATAGAGCCCACAAAATTCACCGTCATACGAGATATAAAACCCTTTCTCATTCTGCAGCCACATATCTCCAATTAGGGTTTCTGATCTGCAGCTACAATGGTAATTTTTTTTTTTTTGCTTGCACCTTCTCTCAATGGATCTGTAGGTGATTTCGGTATGCTAATTTTTGTAATGAATGCAGGGTAAGGGAACGGGGAGTTTCGGTAAGAGGAGGAACAAGACTCACACACTCTGTGTGAGGTGTGGCCGCCGCAGTTTCCACCTCCAGAAGAGTCGCTGCTCCGCCTGCGCTTATCCGGCGGCTCGCACGAGGAAATGTAAGTTTTTTGGCATTAACGGAAATGGGTTTTGTTTCAAAATTCAATTTTGATTTGATTTAATTTGGTTTTGTTGATTTCAGATAACTGGAGTGTCAAGGCCATTAGGAGAAAGACCACTGGGACTGGTAGGATGAGGTACTTGCGTCACGTGCCTCGCAGATTCAAGAGCGGCTTCAGAGAAGGTATTCTATTTAATCACTTTCTTCTAAGTGTTTTTTTGTTTTGTTTTTTATATTTTGTTAATATGATCCTTTTGATTTTTGAATCAGGTACCGAAGCTGCACCCAGGAAGAAGGGAGGAGCTGCCACTGCCTAAGGTTTTGAAAAATCATTCTTAACCAGTTTATAGGAGTAAAGGCTTTGTGGAACATTCTTCTGTGTCATTTTTATTTCGTTCAATATGTAGTTGCTTTATGTTTCAACATGAGGATTGTAAGACTTTTTTGTTTTTCAATGAGAGTTTTTGACATTCATATTATTTCTTTATCATTTTTGGCCAAGAGTTTTTTTTGGTATTATTACACTTAATGAACTGTAATTAGCGGAATTTATGGTAAGGCTGTTTGGGTAACCTGGTTTGCTGTTGCATGATTGTAAATATTTTTAGTGTGCGTTGGCTAAGTGCATGTTCTTACTCGAGATAGGTATCAACATATTATGTGTCTATCCCAACATAATCCTGATACAAACCATGTTACTGTCATCGAGGAGTGTTTTAAGTATTAGGGTAATAAGCGTATTTGCTGATCGTCCTCTCTTCGGGGGCGTATTGATTGCTGTAAAGTGGTTGTTGGAGATTTATAGGATGTTTAATCTTCTGATGTTAGAGAATTTTTGTACACGGTATAGTATGGCTAATCCTTCTGAGCTTCTGAAGTAATAGTTTTACATTTGAATTTCTCACTAGTTTAGCCATGGTGCTACGAATTTTTTGTAGTCTGTTTTAGTTTAGCTTACCCTCGGTTGAATTGTTAGTGAATCTCGTGTAAAAAAATGCAGCAATTTATGAACAAGTTAGTTTCTTGTAAGACTTAGAAACATGTTACTTTTATAATGTCAACTGATAGCATTTTAGTTGGTTGTTTATGAGCGTTCTTTTTTTCTAGTTTTGTTTTTTAAATCGAATAATTGAATGTCTCCAGCGTGCATCACCATTTATTTGGCTCAACGGAACTCCAATTTTTTTTTATAAGCATTTTGATGAATTAAAGTTTAGTTATATATGTTTGTCATTGAATGAGAACCTGTATTGGCTCTAATCCAACGCCGAGGAACAATTTAGGTGTTGTGTTATAAGGAATTTAATTTTTGTTGACACTGGGTAATGTCGCGTTATCCAAGTAGTTTACCCATGGGGGAATGTTGGTCATATGTCCCGTCATAGTATGTATGCATTGTTTTGTGGAGACAATTCTTGGGCGATAAGTACTATCTAGCTGAGTTGACTGGGACGCCCTTACGAGGTGTTTTATTTTGTTTGAATTGTCGCCTCAAAATAAATACATGCTTCTTTTTACCTTTTTTTGGTACAAAAATACATGGTTGTTATACATGTTCTATACTTTTAGGTTTTCCCCCCAACTGTATATATATTTGGTCCAAGCGGAACTGAATTACACTTTCGTTGAGGGATATCAGTCTGATTAGCTCATCGCAAATACATGACTATTAAAGACGATTTTGTTTAAATGATTATTATTTATTTTTGGTTGATACTGTGCACTGATAGTTTGTCAAAAAAAATTAGCTTCCTACCAAAAAGGAAAACTCGATCTCATTTATTTGTTTAATAAAGTCATGTATGATGTATGTGGTTAACCATTAACTGATTTGAAAAATTACTCTTCAATATTACGGATGAAGTTTCCGTGTTAAGACCAAAATTTAAAAAGTGGATGCAGCAAGCAGTATGTAGAAATCTTGTTCATATTTCACACAAACAAAAAAGCTTCATTATTATAATATAAAAAAGGCTTCATTATACATCACTAGATGGGGAAAAAATTAATAATGCTTTGCAAGGAAGAAACAACAGAAAATCTGAATTTTAGAATGAATGTTAGTTTTGTTGCGAAACCAAACCAGAAGCTTTCAGTACTATAAGTCCCAATGGTTAATGAGTGCTTTCTCACTATGATCACTGTCAAGAGCAACCCCGCAGTCAGGCAAAGTTATCTCCAGTAGACAGCAGTTTGCTTGAAAAGATTTTAACAAGAAAATAATCTTAAAATAATTGCATTAATCTCAAAATTTACAAATGGATGCCGCAAGACGCCAAACTGAATTACGAAACCAAATTTGGTAGATGGAAAAATTGAATTGCCTTCAACTCATTAGCAGGCAGAAAAGAAGGATGCCAGTTGCAGAGACAAAAAAGGCAACCAGGAACAATCACAACACAAAAATGTATCTTGGAAGACATAACATCCATACCATTGTATCTTCGTAGCTCAGCTGAAAATTATAAGTCACTTTGTTCTGAACTCACCAAATTTATGCTTTTCTTCATGCAGCTGTTTGAATACATCGTCAAGTTCTGGGAATGCTGACATAAGCAGCAGCTCCAGGAGGTCAAAAGCCAGCTGCTTCAAGCAAACAGATGACTGCAAGAAAGAAGACAAAAAGAGTCTTCACAACTATGCTGAATTGCGTAAAAATAAATAACATAAAAAAACAAAATAAAGAGAAAAGGTCTCATTTGGTGCTGAAAGGAGTTATAAACCCAACGGAACATCAATTCACTCCTCTCACCACAACATAAGATTCCTACGTCTCAATAACATCTTAGCATTCTAAAGGATGCAAATTCTAATAAACTATCGCTCAATAGATTACCATTCTTAATCAAAAAACATTTAATATCTTGATATACAAGGGAGGTTGTCAATAAGAAAAGCATTTTTATGAAAATGACGACACCAACAAATGTTGGCAGAGAATCCCACGGGAAAACTCAGTTAACCTGAAACACAGGGATAATGGTGATATTAACTATTTGTCGCACAGGCATAGTGGAAAGATTTAATCAAAGTTGTACCTGTACAATAAAATATATGATCATGCTCCAAGTGAAGCCAAGTAAATTCCAAATTGGAATGCAATGTTCAGCATCATAAAGATCAGGCAATAATGTTACAACTAACAGCAATACCAGGAATTAATAGATGAACAAAAGAAGCTTCTTTGGACAACTTGAATACATCTAGACAGAAATTACCTGAAGAAAAAAATATAGATCCCTAGCACATTGCTCATACTCCTTCCGACCAACAAGACCTACAATTGCTGGTGGTGCATGATCTACACGAACGAGTGTGGGGGCTTAAGTGTAATATTTTTCCCAATAGAATTAAGTATAGGATATTGAATAATCACAATTCTAAAGATAAATGAGAACAAGATAACATGTATTACCAATCATCAACTCATATACAAACTTTGCACGCTGATCTGCCTCCTGTTGCTGCTCATCATCCATCCTCGGAGAAGATACTTGTGTAGGTTGATGCCCATGAGGTGACTTCTGAGATGGACTGGTAGGTGGTGGTGGTCGTCGTTTTGGATGCTTGGTTATGAATATTCCATCAGGCCATAGGATCTATTAAAGTTGCAGTCACAACACCTCATCAGCGCATTACATCCATCATATACTTTTCTAAGCAATATACACAGTATTCTGCCCCATATATTAATTAGAACTGTATTATTGAGTGGAAGGATTATCAGGGTTGTATAATAAAAGGAGTAGAAATATAGCATTTCATCAAAGTGAAAGAAATTTAAATGATGAGGATAGTTTCCAGAAAATCACAAATTTTAAAAAACAAATGGGTCAGGAGATTACTTGCTCTACCCGCCCGATTCCTGAAGCAATCACTGATCCCTTACGGAGAAGCTGAATTTTCTCTATCAACCAATCATCAAAGGCATCACCCATTCCTAGTTGTAGGACTTGTTTGGCAACCCAAAAGGCCTTCCGCCTGTAATGTAAGACATGCATTGTAAGCAGATAAGATCTTGCTAGTGGAACTTAAAATTCAAACAACTTATGTTTAAGATGAAATAAATATGATTTTTCAAATTACCTCATCCATCCACCATCTTGAACCTGGAAGATAACATCAACCAGATCCAATATGGGTACACTCAAATTTGGTGGCACCCACTGCATGGAAGAATTATATTAATCAGAACCAAGATGCCATCGTGCATATAATAATCTAAGAAGAACAACATCAAAAAACAAATATAATTGTTTCTCTGTTAAACAACAGCAATGAACAATAAAAAAGTACATCAGTCACCTATTTCTAAAATAAGAGAATAAAATCCAGAACTAAAGATTTACTGCCCACATCACCTCTGTAGGAAGAGTATCAGAAGTATCAAGGCGCACATCAGAAACCTCATCTGGACTATCTCTTCTTTTCACTGTCTTCTGCAAGTTATTGGGAGAAGGTGCATTCTTCCATGCATTATTGTTGTCAGAATTGTCAAGTGACTTTCTAGGTTCCTGTGTATTCTTTTTTGGTAGAGAAAGAGGCACGCTGCCATTTACTTTCAACTTCAATCCATCGGCCACAACATTATTTCTTGTTCGCAAAACAGCCTCTTTACTTTCAGCACTACAGTTCTCTCTCCGAGGGGCAAAAGTGTCACTTGAATGTGTAGAAAAATTGGAAGTGCAACTAGTGTTCTCAGATGGTTTAGCATCCAAGCCAACTAGAATAGTTTTCAATAAACACAGAAATGAAAGACATGTCAAAAGATGGGGGTGTTAAATAATAAAATTATGTATGTTCAATATTCTTCATCAACCATGAGTTACCTGGTAGTGTTTCCATGATAGAAAAAGAATTTGAGAATATGTACGTCTGCAATTTATAAATATATAATAATAAGAGATAAGCCAGATAAATTTATTTAAAAAAAAAAAAAAAAAACTTTATGCAATAGAAGGGAGGAAACTGTTGGACAAAAAAACAGACCTGAGAGTCAACACTCAGAAAGTCCCATACTTCAATTGATTCTGAAACTGTTGGTAGCTGCATAAGTTTCTGAGGGCCAATAAGCCGTGCGTCAACAAAATATTGGAAGAATTGATGAACATTGTTAGCAATGACAGAGAAACAGTGCTATATGATATTACGATCTTATTGCAAGGTATGCGACTTGATGTCTCGTATCGAAAACACAAGGTTTTGATGTGAGGTTTATATGGACTTTGAACTCTCCTACCTTACGAGTTAGCTTTTGGGGAGAGATTCTCCCAAGGTTCATATCAATTGGCATCAGAGCCTTCCACTATATCTTCCAGTTGCAATCGAGCGGCGCGACTGGTGATGCTAGCATTGCAATGTTCGTCTAGGGCTAGTAAAAGACTAGTGGCGCCGGGGCTGTGGAGTATGGTAGAATATTACAACCCCATTACAAGGTATGGACTTGAAGTGTAGGGTTTATATGGAATTTGGGCGCTCCTACCTTACGAGCTAGCTTTTGAGGGTGAGGTTCTTCTAAGGTTCTAGAATATTACGACCCACATTGGAAACATAAGGTTCTAATGTGGGGTTTATATAGAATTTGGGCTCTCCTACCTTACGAGCTAGCTTTTGGGGTGAAGTTCTCCTAAAGTTCATATCATACGATAGGTGCAAAAGGAAATATTATATCAAAATAGAAGTGAATTCACACCCAACATCTACCCTGTTGTTAATTGATGATTCCAGTTCTATTGCAGTACTCGAACAAGTTAATTTATTCCTTTGTAGAAAAAAATGAGTTCATTAAGAATGAAAGTTGACTAATCAGCTAAAGGAACCAATTCGATAATAATGCAAACCTACCAGTCAGCAAAAGAAACAATCAGGTATCAGATAATGTCATAAGCAATTATGCAGGCACCACAATAGAAAAGGAGAAGTCATACAAAATTTCTCTAAAGTGAGTTATATTGCCATGGTATTGGGTAGTGGGAGGAACCAAAGCAGTGAGAGTGTTTAACCAAAAAAAAGTCTGAGTTAAGTTGACCTTCAAATATTTATCCAACAATTCACAGCGCTCTTGAATGACTAGAACATCTAAACCGGTTGAAAGAAAATGTTTTGGTGGCAAATGAAGATTATACTCAGGGAACTCTTTCAGGCGCCGATGTAGCTCCTCAAAATGACGAAACCTTGAAAAACAAGCATTAATGTAAGCCAAAAAAATGGAGAAAGAAAAAAAACGAGAAATGCATAAAGACATTATCGGATTCAAAAAAATTATTGAAACATCAGTGTGAGACATAGCACAAGCCTTAGAACCTTCTTTTAATTGACCAACTGTTATTATTTACATCTGTAACGGATATGGAGTAAACAGCAAATGTTCTTGAGCCACTCTTCACAATATTTGCACCTAAGACCTGCAGCAATAAATTCACTTACATTTTTTCATATACAAACATATTAGTATATGAACTTATTTATTATTGATTGAAGGAGCTACATAGCACCATCATAAGTACCTCACATCTCAACTTGTAAAAGGAATCTACGGCCGAGGAGCTTTTCAGTTCTGATTTAGAAATAGAATATGCAGAAGAAGAGGCAGCTGCTCCACTATAAATTCTACCCAAACTTTCAATATAAGCATCATCACTGGACTCATCAGAGTTTACATGTGATTTTGAAGAACTAAGTATGTCTTGACCATCTCCAGATAAAAAGCTTGTTCTCTCAAGTTCCTGCCACATATGTACTTTATGACCGCTTGACCTAGACCTTTTACTGCCAGATTGGGTTCTGGATAATCTTGGATAGCGAGAATGGCTCTTATTCCTCTTCTTTGTACTGTGATTATCAAAATTTTCAAGTGGGTGATGAACATAAGAAACAGCCTGGTTTCTGTTACTTCTTCCATCCCAAACCATAGTTCCAGGGGCATCAAGACCAGTGACATTACTAGTTTCATCATCTTCAGAAGTATAAGAAGTATCGCTCCCTGATTCACTCGTCTGCATATGCATGTGGTTGTGCTCATCTTTATACGAGGAAGAAATAGTTGATCCATTCTTGTCTGCATGAAAGGGTGCATTTTCAGCAGTGAATTGACTGTTGTATCCAGAATTAATGTGGTCTCCCTTAGAGGGATTAAGCTTGGATTTAGTGTTTTTTTCTTTGGGTCCAGATATCGCCTTCATATGATCTACCTTCGGCAATTTTCCTACCACAGGATGCCGTGGGTCTTGCTCATTGGACTGGTTCTCGCCATCATTTTTCTGGTAATTTTTCCCCTTTGTCCACATGTTCTCAAAATGTTCTGGAGCAAGGGTTTGGGTCTTTCTGCGAGAGATGACATCTAAGATATCTCCCCACTCTCCTCCTGAACGATGCCGTTGAATACCTTGGTCATCATTAGTTTGGGAGTTTACAGGCAATGAGTTCCATGAACGGGAAGATCGAGCATCAACTGAAAGCAATGGATCTTTATCATGGGTATTATTTTTTGCAGGTTTCTCTGCATTTCTGGGTGGACCATTTCTTAGCTGCACAAGCTCAACACCAGTAGCAGAAGGATCTAAACAGTCGGAAAAATGGTCAGACGAAGTCTGTAACTCATCTGCTTTAGCGTGAGATACCTCTTGAGCTGTAGCTGCCCCCTTCTTAAGGTTGGCCTTATTAACTACTACAGATTCAATTCTTTCATTTATAAATCTGCCAGCAAAAAAAGAGAAAATGAGAACAACAACTTACGTCAACAATGAAGCAAAATGTAAAAAAACAGATACCTTGGATTGGCTAAGTTTAGGACAGGTCGCATTACAGCACATGCAAGAAGCTCCCTGGCAATATACCGAAAGAAAGAACACTTCAAATCCTCAGACTTGAACGTGACAGACATAAGACCATTCATCAGATGCTGCAAAACCTGCAAATTAAGAATACACACAGCATTATAACCCAAAATTAGAAAATACAAGAACGAAATCATGGATCTTGGATTAAGAATGAATTCCCCATTCCTCAATGCATGCATATAAAACAAGAAAGTGAAAAAAAACCTTATGCTCAGCTTCAGCAGAAAATAAAGCAGGATGCAATTTGTTCTCGGTGGCCAAGACAATTTTTAGTTCAGTATCTTGATCTTCAATTGTTAATGAACCTGTACGTTGTTTTTCAATCTTTGAGTGAGCAGCACGAAATAGCTCCAAGTGTGTACAAATGAGATTAATAAGATCCCTGAACCAAAAAAAGTTAATTCCTCAGTCAATAAATTTACAATCCGAAATAAAGAAAGGAATCATTGACAAAAAAATGAAAGTACGAACCTTATCAAAAAATCAATCAGATTTATATTTCTCATGCGTCCTGAAATTTCGCCAAGAACACCATTAATTATTTGCACTAACTCCTCGGGACCCTCTCTGTCTGGTGTTAAGCGAGAGTACCACAGATCTGTCACCCACTCAGAAACTAGATGTCTAGTGAAGTGATCAATTGCATCCTCGACAACAGGAGAACTCACTTTTTCTCTCCAATCAAACTTTGCAACAACTTTAGGATTTTCAATAGGTTTCTTTGAAGACTGAACACTGGTGGAGCCTGCTTTATTGTTGTACACTGCTGCTTTTCTCTTCGCTTCAAAATCTAGTGACAAATAGCGGAGAATGATAATTAAGGAGGCCGCAGCTGGCAAGTTCACCCAAACCGAGGAGCTTGTCACTGAAATGAAAGAAAAAGAAATTAAACCAAACCAAGACCTAAAAATAACATAAGCCATAAGTCAACAAGTGACAACCTCTTAAGATACATAGTTTTCTAGGTTTTGAGGAAAGAGGCGTTATCTTGGTGACACAAGTCAGTATCAACAAAATTTCCTGCTACTAAATGAAAACAAAAGTAAGGGTGTTCAAGGAACCAACCCAACCAGATAAAAGTGATGAAACTGAACCAAACGGTTGGACAGCTTTGGTCTCATTGAAAGATCAAATAGTTTGGTACTTTGGTAAAATTTTAGGATTTTTTCCTTTATACTTTATTCATATTATAGAAAAATGCCAAATGTTTTGAATAAAACCAAATCCGCTTAGGTGCCCCTCTTCCCTTCAAAAAAGCCAAATCCTAGACTGAACCCAACACCTTTCTAATTTATTTATGTATAGCTAATTCAAATCTAAATGGTACCAGAATCATCACTTATTAAGCTTCCCTGCTATTGGATACTTAAACATAATTATAGTTCCCTTTTTCTTATCTCTCTTAAACAAAATCAAGTACAAATAGATGCATAAGGAAAATATATCACAAAGAAACAGAGCATAAAGACTATGCAGGTATATTCAGGATCCAGAACTGGGGGGGGACTTTGGGCTTTCAACGCACAATAAAGGGAGTCAAATATAATTATATATTGACTTTTAATGATGTTAATGCGATTTTCAAAGTACCTATTTTAGGAGGTTTATTTATTTTAGGATTTTTATACAGTTAATTTTAGGTAATTTCAAGGTACTTATCATAGAATTAGATTCCTGATATAATACTATATGAATTAAAAAGTTGTAGACAATTATTCACTTTTCACTCAAGTTTTTTATTATGTCTGTGAAAGGGTCCGCGATGTTAAAACACAAGTTACAACACACTTTCATGTCTGAATATTATTACAAGCAATTCCCTTGTGTTGTAGTTAATTCTTGAGTTTGTACCTAGTACATGCCAGGTTCTATGCTAGACTGATAGCTAACCCGAACTGTTTTCGACTTTTCAGGCTTCCACCCCAGGCTGGTCAGATTGGTTAGTACCATATCACAAACAAAAACAAAGAAGAAACTAGGAAATCTAAAGGAAAATAAAAGAAAAGTCCAGCTATTCTTTGATTGTGAAAACAGTAGCAACACGATAATTTAAAGCATCACTTTGTACAAGGATTAAGCACACAAAATATTGGTTGAACATCCAATGCTCCTAACTTGACAAGATATCTATATTCTGCTTTATAAGAGCAACAAGAGAAATAAAAAGTGCATTCAAGCAGAAACTTTTTACACTGAAAACCTTCCAACATCCCTCCTATAAAATAGGTCTCCAAACGATTTCATCCTCTCTTAAAACTCAGAGAGAAATGATCCTATGTCTTAAATTCAACAGCATTGTCAGAATATTTTACCCAGATTAAGATTTAATATAGAAGCTAAATGCCACATCACTTTGATCCTACCAATCTTTGCAGAGCTGGCAATGTGATAATAACTATGCTGCATATGATTATCACAAAACAATTAAGAAGCTGTTCAAACTAAACAAACAAACAAAAACGCTCTCATTTTAAGTTGAACAAACAAAAACACACCCTGAAGTAAAGGAAAAGAAGAATTGAACATTTTTTTTTTTTTTTTTTGGAAACAATGATTAAAGTGAAACTCACAGGACATGAGATAAGAGAGTCCGACAACGCAAACGACCAGGATGACAATCCTTTTCTTAGCTTCCTCGATGAGGTCTCTCACTGTCACCTGATTCGGCTTGGGCATCGCCATCGCCATGCTAATCTCCAATCCTCTCTGAATTGTGAATAACAAAACGCAATTCAATTCAATTCAAATAAATACCAACCCCATCACCAACAAATTGAGCACTCCAAGGTTGGTGATGATCAATAAGATGGGGAATTCGATTGAATGTGATGAAATTGAAGACCAGAAGATTGAATCAACGAAAAGCTATGACCGTTAGGTTTTTTTGCTTGCACATGAGATTGGTGATGCAGTGTGTGCTTATTTTTCTCACTTTCTGTGAGAGTTTTCTTTTGCAGTTTCTGTCGCTTATGGCATTGACGTGTGATTTCATTTCTACTGTGGTTCAATCTATGGCTATTGCCATTGCTATGGTCACCTATCAGGTTAACTAGTTAAAGAAATTTCAATTCATATTTTAAATTACTATATGCTTATTTTAGTTTATTCATATTTAGATAGGGATCATCTATGTAGTATTAAAAACAACAAAGTATGACTAATTGACTATGGATGCATATTAAATTTCATTTTCATCATTTCATTATCAACCAATTTTATTAATCTTATTGACTAACCCATTTTTTTAATTACAAGTGAGAAAGGATGATATTTTTTCATTAAAATTATAAATTATTAAGATATTTTTTTTGGCATACTCACTCTAATTATCTTTTAGAGGCAAGTCTAGTGTATATCTCACAAGCTTCAACTTTTTTAATCGGTTATAAAACTAATTCAAAATTGAAGCTTAACCACGGTTAAAACTCTTCGTCCCTTTACAAATATATATCTAGTGGGAATCAAACTCAAATTTTCTTCCCCACGTACTCTTGCCAATTACACCCATTGGGCTCAGGGCGAAGCCGGGATTTAATTTTAGCCGGGGCCAAAAAAATTAATATATCAAATTATCAAAATATTTTCATAATTATACAAATCAATTATGAAAAAAATTTACTTAAATTTTGTTAAAATAATATGATTGATGTTATTTTAACAAATAATAAATATTTATTTAAAATTTAAAATATAATACAAAATTAAATTAGTAAATAAAGCACAAATTATATATATACATATATGAAATTTTCATATGCTTTTTATGAACATTTTCACGTGATCTTTATAAACATTATTTCATGTGATGTTAATGAAAATTTATTTAAGAGTAAACACCCTTTATGGTCCCTGGCAATATTGACGAAATCCTTTTTAGTCCCTGGCAATAAAAAAGGACCAAATTGGTCCCTAAAATTATGAAAAAAGGGTCATGTTAGTCCTTCTGTCAACTCTTCCGTCACGGTCAAACTAACGGTGCCCATGTGGCACGTTATCTGCTGACGCGGACTGGACGGTTGACACGGTGGAACGCTGAACGACGACGTTTTGAAGCAAATGGGTTGCAAAGCTTTCCATGGAGAGCACGACGTCATTTTACTTGAACATTATTAATTGAAAAAACCCCAATAATGAACCCTAATAATTGAAGAAACCCCAAATGCCTTCAACCGAACCCTAAACCGGAAACTCCATCCCCCAAATTGATGAGCAAATCCCTAAATAGCAATACGCCCCCAAAATGTTCGCACTTTGATGATTGAAACTCGACGAATAACATTCAGCCCTCAACCGGATTTCTGGGCGTGGGAGAAGATGAGTGTTTCTTCTGGCATGGGGGGATCAAGTGGGAGTAAATCAATGGGGAGAAGAACAATGGCAAGGACCACCGGTTGGAGGTGCAAATGTGGGAGACAAAGTATTGTCTATACCTCCAAAACTGAGAGGAACCCCAACAGGGCTTTCCTTGGCTGTCCTAATTTCAAGGTATGAATTTGTAATCTGCCCCTTTATTGAGTTGGAACACTTACTAACGGTGGTGTTTATTTTTTGCAGGAGAAGAAGCCCTATTGTGATTTTTTTAGATGGGTAGATGACATGTGTAATGAACCCATGGAGCTGGAAGAAGCAAGAATTCACACTGTGGAGTTGTATGTTGCTGAAATTAACTTCAAGTTGAAGTATGTGGAGATGATGATGAGAGAGCAAGATGTGAAGATTACTGAGCAAGGAATGAAGCTTCATCAGCAGGAAAGAAAACTGAATGATGTATACATGAAGATGGTGGAGGAGTTAGATAGGATGGACAAAAAAATTAGGACAGTTGATAGGTCAGCTAGGGTCTTAGGTGCTTGTGTTGGTGTGATCATGATCTGTATGTTTGTTGTTAGTGTGGTAAAAGTGAAAACAAGTGACCCAAATGTATTTTTCCTTCAGTGAATTGTAATGAATACTACTTCTTTATGTTATACAAATTATGTGTTAGTTCCAATCTGTTTGTGTGTATTATCATATGGCCTATTATAAAAAAGCCTTGAATGTATTCCTCTTTTTTATTATGGCATCATATATTTGTGCCTTGGTGAAATGCTGTACTGGATGCTAAGTTTCTGTTAGTATGGACTGTTGCATAGTTAAGCATCGATTGAAGGATCAAAGATTACTACATTGTATCACAAACAGATTTAGATTGCTACTGATATAGATGCATAACTCATGAATTGCTGATACAGAAGTTACATACTGTTATGCATATTTTGTTACTGATTGCAAAACACGAGGGCCATTTAGGTCCCTGGAAATGTAACTCGCGGGCCATTATGGTCCCTGATAAAATGCACAGGGCATTTATTGGTCCCTGACCACAGAAAAATAGGACATGAGGGATTGATGTCCAAATCAACAAAATGCCGCACTCATTTTAAAAAATGGTAGTGCATTAGGTCAGATACAGGTCCCTGACTTGTATGCTTCTGAATGCAGTCCAAAACAACAAACAGAAATGCATTATATCAGAAATGCATTACGTTAGGGTCCAAGTTGGTCCCTCACAATGAGTGTCGGGGTCCTAATTGGTCCCTGCAACCAGAAAAATAAGGCATGATCTGTTTAATGGTCCCTACAAACAGTAACACAGCACAAACTTGCAACATTTCTATTTCTATTTCTATTTCTATTTATATTTTGGCATGACCAGTAACCACAACATATGGCAAGCAAAAACCAGTAACCAGAAAATATCCTTGCTAATTGACCAACCTGACCAGAAACCTGCACCAGAAAATGACCAACAATAAGCTAACTCTCTTAAAAAACATGCAAACCAGAAAAGTCTGCATATGACATAAAGCATGTGAACCAAAATAAATTGCACTTAACATGCATGTCTAGAATATAACCAGTTACATATAATTGTCTTCCTAGAACTAGAAAACAGTAGTCCATTACAAATAAAAGCTAACTAATAGGAATCATAAGTGAGGCTTATAAATACACTTTGGCCAAGACTCACAAACTCCATTCCCAGCTCTAAGTGTACATGACCAAACTCCTCATGCATATTAAATTTTGGATTGACAACCTTTTCATCCTCTTCAGCACCACTTGAAGGAGGCGTGTTCAACTCTTCAGAGTTATACCCATACCCATCCTCCTCGAAAGACATTGACTTCTCCTCCTCTTCCATTGTATCTTCCCCTGCCACATCTTCAACCTTCTTTTTTTTCTTCCTGTTTTGCTTTTTTTTTTTCCAGCAGCTTTACCCTTCCCCTTGCACTCCTCTTCACTCTCTGTTTCTGTATCATACATAGGTGGAGGAGGTTTATATGCCTCATCCTCCACACCATCATCTGAGTCAGTAGAAAACCCATCACCATCTCCACCCTCATCCTCCTCCCCACCACTGCCACCCTCATGTGCAGGTGCAATAACTTCTTCCGGTGCAACATAGATAGGGGTTGCAATGCAATCTTCAAAATAAATTTCTATGAGCTTCCCATTACTCAATGCAGCCTTGACCATCTCCACAATATCAACGTTCGTATTCAAAGGCCTTAAACCTACGTCTAAATTCATTGCGTTTGGCATGAGCCACAACATTTGCTTACACGTCTCATATCCATAACCCTTGAACAGAGTATCAAGGTCACACAGGTTGACGAAGTCAGCATCCATCTCAGGTAAGTCATCCACTTTGCCATGGACATAGGTTAGGACCCCTTTATCATCTCTCTTCAACACACCCCCATGATGATACCTTATTACTATATATTCATCCATCTGGAAAAAAAATACACCATGACAGTTACTAGCCAGTTGCAACAATTCTATTTTAACAACTTCCACAAACCAATCATATTTTCTCAACAAGATAAATCATTTGCATATATAAATCAAGAAGGGAATGTTAACACACAGGGCTGTAAATTGCAACAACAAAAAATCTCATTTACAATAAATTCACATTTGCAATAAATTCATGCGAACATCAAGGTCCACAAAGCAATTTAAAAATGGCAATAACCATATACATCAAACTCATCACTGCCGTGTAACCATACAAATTATGCATGCACTAAAAAATTGGGACCACAATGCACTAAAAAATGGCAATAAACTTTACAAACCGGTAGTGAGGGGGACCACATACATAAATGGGTCTTTTTTTTGTAAACCCTAACCATAATAACACACGATGGAGGGAACATGGGGGACCATCATCCAACAGATAATAGACAACATGAGGTGAGGGGGGACCACAAATATTGAAGATTTTCTAAAAAAACACTTACCTTACTGCATGTAAGAAAACCAGCAGACTCGAACTTCCCTTCACCACCACAGAACCAGCCTTTCGACAACCTTCAAAGTCCACGCTCGATTGCCTTCCCTGCAACCACCGTCTTCGACAACCCTCACCGTTCAACGAAGCTTCCAGTGGAGGTCAACAATGGTCTTCCAATAATATGCAATAACTTAGTGAAAATATGAACGACTCTCCACGGTTAGTGTTCGTGCCTCTTGTTTTCTCAAACATAAAATGACGTCGTGTGGTCCTTTTGAAAGCTATTTACTCATTTGCTTCAAAACGTCGTCGTTCAGCGTTCCAACGTGTCAACCGTCCAGTCCGCGTCAGCAGATAACGTGCCACATGGGCACCGTTAGTTTGACCGTGACGGAAGAGTTGACATAAGGACTAACGTGGCCCTTTTTTCATAATTTTAGGGACCAATTTTGTAATGTCCCACATCGGTTGGAGAGGGGAACGAAGCATGCCTTAAATAAGGGTGTGGATACATTTCCTTGGAGGAGGCCTTTTGGGGGTAACCCAAAACGTAAAACCGTGAGCCCGGCGGTGCTTGTGCGCGGGGCAAAGCGGACAATATCCTGCTACAGGGTTTGGGGCTGTTACATTTGGTATCAGAGCCTGGCCCTGGACCGGTGTGTACAGTGGGGAC